TATATTCTCCAAACATAGAGTACTCAGTCACATCACATTTGACTGCAGCTCCAAATTCATCTCCCAATTTACTCATGCCTTAGCTGTGGCTCTTGACATGAAACTCCACCTTACCTCTAGTTACCATCTGGAGGCTGACAGACAAATGGAACAAGCAAACCAAACTCTGAAACAATACATCTGCATCTACTGCTTCTACCAGCAGGACAACTGAGACACTCTCTTACCTATTGCTGAATTTGCCTGCAATAATGCCTCTAATGCATCTACCAGAATCTCTCCATTTTTCACTAACAAGGGTTACCACTCCAACATCACTGTTCACTCTGAAAGAGACATCGCCTCCACCTAGGCCCAAGATTTTGCAGTCAACCTTGATGAACTTTCTGAAGCTCAGTCTCACTACAAGATCCAAGCAGACAAGCATTGGATTCTGGCACCCCTATTCATAGTGGGGGACAAAGCCTACCTCAGCTTCAAACATATCAAAATCACCTGCCTGACCAGAAAAATTTCAGAAAAATTTCTTGGTCCTTTCAAAATCATAGCCCAACCTGGCACTCACTCCTTTACCCTGAGGCTTCTGCTGGATCTCTGCTCCATTCACCCCATCTTTCATGTGTCACAATTGGAACCTATAGAAGAAAACACCATTCCTAACTGAATCCAACTACCACTGCCTCCAGTCAAAGTTGATGGAGAAGAATATTTTGAAATAGCCTAAATCTTCAACTCTAAACTAGACTGCCAGTTCTGCTGCCCACTGTTGTACAAAATCCAGTGGCTAAGATATGAAGGCACTAACAAAGAATTTGCTTGGTTACTGGTCTCCAAGTTCTCTACCAATGACTTCATTGAAGAATTCCACCACCAATACCCAGGCAAACTAGGACCCTTGTCCAAAGTCATTCAAACATCTCATTCCTAATACAATGCTACTCTGGACACTACCAGTACCCCACCTTACTATTTCAATTCTAACCACTAAATTACCACTATTCAAACACCCCTTTTACACTTTTCAAGTCAAAAAAAAAATCTTGCATTTATATTTTTGTTCACTACCAACATCCAATACCCTTTTCTATATACAGTTCATATAAAATAATTTTTACAAAGAAGCAGAATCCAAACTCTCCCTCCACTCCTTCAACTCCTCTATGTCCTTGTCCAGCCTCTTCAATATCACCTCCCAAAGATCCTCCACCTCCTGATTCCTCTCATCTTTAAAGATCAGTTGAGCCTTCTTCCAGGCCTCCACCTCAGACTCCAAAAACAACTCTGAAGGAGACAACATATCATCAGAACCATAGTCATCTTGAAGGCCAGCCACAGTATCATAAACATCTGCCACCTCATCTGCCAACTCATCCACATGACACATCAACTTGCATATCAATTTCAAAAGTTGGTGGAGACCTCCATGCTACTAATCACCTCACTTGTGGTGACACCCCAGTTGAATAAACAGATGGTCTTCTTAATCTTGCAATGTGTGCAAGTCTGCCCATATGCAGTGCCTTCGGTGGCCAGGTATGCATAACAATGGGCACTATCTTGGTGACAGTGCACACAGCTTTCTGAGAACAAAGGCTAAGTCAAACCATGCAAGAAAATCAAGACACTTACTTTCACCATCCAACAACTCTTCACCTTCCACCAGCCCCACCACTTCCAACTTCACCCACTTCTTGAGACTAGCAACCACCCCTGCCCCACTGCCATCTGCTAGGCTCCTTGATCTGAACTTGCATTTATGGCCCTTCTCCACTAGATCCACCACCTTTCTCTTCCTCTCTCACACCCTCTTTCTCCTCTCCAGGGTTCCCTTGGATTCTTCTGACTCATCATCTCCCTCAGTCCCTTTATCTTGCTGACCATCAGACTCTGGAGACATATAGCCAGTCACCTTCTTGAAGTGAAGACCAGGGCTAGAACCAAACCATTCTGCTAGCACTTGATGCAGCCAAAAATCAACAGCCTCCATGGGGGTCATCTGCAACCCATTCTCTATAACCATCCCCTTCTGCTCTGCCTCCAAGACTGAAGCCCTCACTGTGGCCTCCATAGCCTCCCTCTCCTCAGTCTTCTTCTAAGCCACCTCTCTCAAGGCCTTCTCTGCCTCCTTAGTACACCTCTCCACAGCCTACCAGACCTTCTCCCTCTTTCTCTCCAATTCCTCCTTCTGCTCTCTTTTTCACACCTCTTTGGCCACATGGTCTGCCCAGACCTTTTTCTTCTGCTCTTGCTCCCCTCACCATTTCAAATGGCTCTCCATGGCCTCCATGTATTCTTCTTCTACAGTCTGCCATTCCAGATGAAATAATTCCTTGGCCTCTTCAGGGCCATTGGGGGTAGGTTCCCTCACCAAAGGCTCAGGAGTACATGAGTGATGATATGCAGCAGGAGGTGACATAGTTAGGGCAATGATGGTAGTATCTGACCAAGTTGCAAAAAATTTCCATGGCCACCAACAATCTTCTATGTGGACCCACCAGCCATTGGGATCTGTGCTCTTAAGGGCAAGAATGCTAACAGGAGGATACTGTTATGCACATGCTGCCAGCCTCTGTGTCATCTCAACCAACCACAAATGCAATCACAGAAACCCACTGGACTCTGGCTACTCCCCATTACCTATTAATTTCATTTTTACTATTATCATTTCACATCTGTATTTCACATTGTAATATCTAGACCCTGAACCCAGTAGTGAATATTGACATCAGAACCCAATAGAACCCAACTTGGAATTAGCTACCATTAGTATATAAAGCCATGTATAACTATTGTAACTACTCAGTTTGAATATCAACTTGGATAAGCTATCTACACTTTGCACTCACTTCAACTCCTCTCTATCTTGTCCATCAGATTCTGCTCTGAAGGACATTCTGGTTCACTTCTCTGATGGAACTCCATTCCATCCACCTAGATCCTTGGGCTCTGACTCAAGGGTGATGTTGCCAATAGCTTCATCGACACCCATGCACTCCACCAGACTCCATGCATGCACTCAAGTCCACTCGAATTGGCACATTTCTAACAGAACTGTGGGATTGTGTAGAGGGAGTTGTGTCCAAAGTTTGAGGGTGAAACAGGTTGGAGTCCTGTAGCCATCCTAGTAGCATCAAGGGAGTCCCAAGCATGGTCTCCAATGTTATAGATATCAACACTCTGCTCACTTACTATCCTATCTTCTAGCTTGCTAAATTATCTCACTTATCTCTGAAACACATTTTATTTTATAGAGCAATCAAATTTAGCAACTATCTATTGGCTTTTTTCTCTCACTTCTTTACTTGGTATGAATGTCAGTTATTGATTTTTGAACTGATCCTTTGCTATGATTTTCTAAAACTGAACATATTTTTCTTATCTATCTCTATCTTAAGTAAACTAATGCTCTCAATGTCAGATTATAGAGAGAACAAACTCAATATTTTCAAGTGCTTATATTTCACAGACTTTGACAAAATTCTCTTTAACTTGACTGTTTTTGAGTTAAAGACAGTGAATGTCTTTACAAAGGATGATGAAGAAATAGATACAGCTCCATTTGTAATAATTAACAAGCATTGGAATACAGTCTCTGAATAAAAAATTGTTCAATTATGTTGAGTGGTTATTAGATACCACAAGACTAAGATCAAAAAAAATGAGAATAAAACTAGAGATAAGAGTAAAGAGGCACCAAACAACATTATGGCTCTACCCTATATTGATCATCTCAAATTCTTTATAGTTAAAGGATTAGATACATCTATTATCATAAAAGATGACATCTGAGTATTTAATTTTACAATTCAGTCTTTGCTGAAACTCTTGTTAGAATACAATTATAGACAGGTTGAAAATCTCATTTTTTCTAGTATATGTGATAAAAATAAAGTCTGATGCTTTATGCATTGCTAGTTAGCAAACAAATAAGCTAAGATTTCAGAACATATGTACTATCTTTGTGAGCCTTCAACAGAGTAGTAGATATTATAATCTGTCTTTCAAGAAAGAGGCTGCTTGATAGTATAGATCAGTAAGCAAAATAAAAAGAGAACAAGACAGACTGCATCTCATTATTAGATTTTATGTGATAGTGAAATTTGAGATTAAACACAGATACTAAACATATCTCATTGAGCTGTAAGCATAATATAATGCAAAGGTAAGAAACTACTACATATATACTTTTCTTCCTAGTCAGCAGTATGGAGGTGCCAAAGAACAATATCCATATCTGATATTCAAACCACTCTAATACTGATCCTCTCAATATCAGCTACTTTATTCTTACAATCAAAAGATCTTATAGTATTCTCAGACTAGAGCTCACAGAAAGATGACTAAGTTGCCATCTTCATGTCATTCATCTAAAAATACTCAAGATAGAAGGACTGCATATCTTTGTCAAAACTCAATGGATATGTTTTTCTATGAACTGAAAGATGAAATATGCTGTACACCCTCAATGTATATTATCTAATAGCTGAATATAGACTGAACAGCAGACAGCAATACATATAGACTATCAGTAGTGGATCTTCACTATTGTTGAGGTGTAAGATCATCTATAAATGCAAATTATTTATATACAGGTTGTACAGTGGTTTCTAAACCTATATGATCATACAGCTCATAAAATTTATATTATCCTATGGCTTTGTTCTTGCTACTATAGTAGAATATTCTATTCTATAAGCAATGAGGATGCTATCATGTATATTATGGTACTTGCTCTGAATCTATATAGAAAAGCATTCTAACATACCATGAGATCTGCATGAGATAGAAATTTTGACAAGTGAGGTCATAATCTCTGAGAGAACAGATCAGCACATGCAGCAAGTCAAAAAGATGAGAAACTTACCTATAATTTGCATATATATAGAGAGGAGGAAAGTCTGCACAAAGCAGACAATGGTTCCAAAAATTGAGGCTCAAGATGAACTTGATGCCTACTAGAGCAAAAATCCCTATTCAGAGAAGATAAATTAAAGAGATAGTGCCCATTGAGATGCAGAACAGTCAAACAGTGCACTTAAATGACAGGAAGCAGAGTGTCTCAGTCCAGTGAAGAATCAGAGAGTCAGTCCACCAAGATATCAGAATAAGAGATTAGTCACTGTGTTATACTGTGTTAAAATATCGGTCAGTCTAACAGATAAATAGATAAAGCCTATCATGTGCTGTACTCTCTGTCTGCAAGATGACACTAAAGATAAAAGATGAAACATTCTGTGCTAGGATATACACACTGTTGTTTGGAGAGGCTGTTGAACTGAGAGAAGAAAAACAGGATAAACAGTACATAGCACAATATGCTATATTCAAAAGGAAGAGAAGGCAATGCATACTCAGCAGCCCATATTGTATGATTTGTCCACAATGCAGCATGAGACAATACATGATATCGCAAGTAGCATTTTGAGTTCGGAGAAGCTTCCTAATGCAGAGCAGGCAAGAGCAGGCAAGAACATGACACAAACAGATGCACAAAGATATACATCCAATAGTTGCTTCAACAGACCAATGATGATAACAGGGAAACAGGATAATACACAATGTTGCAGGCAGCATATCCAGTTTGGAGAAGCTTCCCAGCAATGTAGAGCAAGCGAGGACATAGCACAAATAGATGCACAAAGGTATACATCTACAGACCAACAGTGATAACAGAGGATACCATATGATACAATGAGAAAAATGTAGGCTCCAAGAGAAGAGTTAATGTACTTGAAACTCGAACAGTTGACCCATGGAAACAGTAGAAAACCTAAACAAGTAATATGATCAGCATGACATGAGATTGATGTGGAACAACTCACCTGGATGAATGATTGACGCATAGAGTAAAAAATCTGCAAGAAGCAGAGAGGTTCCAAAAATTAGAGGTGTAAGCCGAAGCTTGACCGGCAATGCCGATGCCTTGGAAAGACATCGGCCTGAAGATAAATCAATGGAGAGGGGACGTCGACGAGAAACCTCGGAGAAACCTCGATAGAACGAAAGGGAATAGGCAACCGTGCGTCCAGTGAAAATCGCGTTAGTCATGGAAAGACATAAGTTGTGGCCTGTAATTCGCAAACAGAGTCATGCCTCTCGTGCTCGCAAAGAGTCATGCTTCAGTCAACGAGACGTTCTTAAACTTGACCTCCGCGGTGAAGTGGGCTAGTAAGGTTCATATTCGGAGACGCTAGAATGACCATCAGAACCGTGAGGGCATAAATTGTATGCGCTTACCTCCACTTAACATTGTGAAGTACATGTTGTGCAGTGTCGGTGGTTGAGTAGTAATTCCAGTTGTTCACAGCGTGCCAGCCAAAGACCCCAGAGTCCAATGGATGTCCACGAGCTTTCGTCATATTTGGCCACAGAGAAGTCTCCGTCGAACAGCAGCGGCCCTGATAACCGTCCATGGGAGTTGCGGTCTATTCAAACGTGTAATATCATATCTAGTAATTCGGTGAGTGCGGTGTACAAGAGAAAGAAGCTGAACACGTACTCTTGTGAATGCGGCGTAAAGGAGTTATCGGCTAGTGGATGTGGCTCATCAGAGATGCGACACGGACAGCAGCGGGTGAGACTCAGCGCCCAGAGGATATCACATACTACGCTCAGAGAATTTTGGCGGAGCATCGTGGGGTTGGCGGTGCCAGATTACTAGTGGTATATCGGATGTGGCTTGCAAAAAAATGGCGGGGATTCGTGTCGTCTTCACTTCCGAGATGCAATGGCAATAATAGATGTCGATATCCGTCGTTATCGAAGCAAATCATGGCAACGTTGAAGGCCAGAGTGGAAGTCGTACAAGCTCGAGGTGGCAGTCATGCTGTGGCGAAGCCATCGCTAGCAAGCAACACGATATCGAGTCACCATGAAGGCACAGGTCCATAGGAGTTGATGTACTCAGATAGTGGCAGGAAAGAGAAAGAGCTGGGGAGAAAGAAACCAATGCACCGACCTTTTATAGGGAGCAATGTTTGTGCGGCCCAAACATGCCAAGATCTAGATCGCCACTAGACATCAAGAAATATATGTGATAAGACAAGGCTGGTGGCATATCTCCACCGGCCCTGTCTTATCACCTATATTTCTTGAGGTTTAGCCGTGAACTGGATGGTCGACAAGGGGTTTCGACAAAAGACGCGTTTTCTATGTCTGGACATCCGGCACCTTGCATCAGGTGATTCTCGATTCCTCGCTTTTATTGTAAAACCCCGAGCCGCTCTGGGTCGCCTCACACTTTTATTGAAATATGTTAATAAAGCTGGCATCATCACAATGCGAAGACCAACCGTTCTCCAGCTCAATCTTGGTTTTGACACTCAACAATCTCGGTTCGTATATTAGTCAGAATACCCCCGAGTTGGGTTCAACTCCTAGCGAAAGACTTAGGATGCCAAAATGACAAGTTTTCGTATTTCTCTAACTGGTATTAGAACATTACTGCAGGTAAGTAGAGTAAAAAGACATTATGCAAACTACACACTTGTACACAAAGCGATTCGTTTTCCAGCTAAGGTATATGGTGAAGGTTGAAATTTCTGCTGGATGCAGAGAGGCTGTTAGTATTAACCGCAGGAATGGAAGGAACAAGGCCGTACCCTCTTCAGCTTTAACCTTCGCGCTGATGTATATTCTCCACGACGCGGTGGTCAGACAAGAAAGTGACTAGCACAATTTCAAGGTCAGCCAAAGCAGTAGAATAGAGACAACAAGACGTACCGAAAATATTGGGAGAGCTGTCGAGCATGGGCAGATACACATACAGACACACAGTGATGGTCCTAGTTCTGCTATCGAGAACGCGAGCAGCGAATTCCCTTAGCAATCGCATACGAAGGACAGGGTAGATTTAGCCGGATTTAAGGTACAAAAATAACGTAGCAGTAGCGGCGAGTGTGTTGAATCTGTTTCTGGCTTTCAATGCGACGTACGCCTGTATTGAACGGAAACGCCTCGACGCTTTTCCGTCGTAAAAGCGCCTCTTTAGGTCCCATAGCGAAGAGAAGGGACGACGAGCACCCACCATGACAATCGACTACCCCTGCCCAGAGTCTTCATCAGCCCTCGCGTATTCGTAACCTTCCACCTAGAAAGGCCCAAGGATGAAATTAAGAAGCTGGTGTATCATAGAGGAAGGTTGGAATGGCAGCGAAAAGGGTCTTCGCTATAATCAACGATCAACGGGATGAAAGCAACGAGCAGACATCCGAGTATCGCACAAGCAGCTGGGTTTCATTTTGCCCTTGGTACATGGGAGGGCGTTTCTTGGCAAGGAAGGTTCGGCAATAGCCGAAGTCCCGTTCTGCCCGGCATTTTCTTGGCTTGAAGCTATTCTCAATTCTGCTGTATTCCCGTCGTATTTCTCAGTCTGATAAGAACTGCGCCTTAAACATTTGCCTATTGCACGCGTTCATTACCGAGAACGACGTCAACTAGAGCACCGGTGTTGCAACTACTCCATAACCAGCGCCAGTGGTTCATGAAAACTATTCATGTTACCTCCCCGACAATGATCGACCGTGTATACACTTCTACTCTCTATTCATGTCCGAATTCCTCATTTTCCTTGTGTCTGATCAAGGGTTCGGACCTCATCCACCACCATCACCTACGTCTGAAACTTCATTTCTTCTTTTGACTCTCAAAATAACCTTTACTTATGCACAGAAAAACGTCTTCTATAATGGGCCCCCTTAAAATAGTAAGTAAGCGCTTAGTACCAGGGCACTTGGCCCACTGCTGTTACTCGGTACAAGTATCTCCTTCTAACAATCTTTCTTGATAGATGCCCGCGCGTACAAGCGGTAAACCAAAGACTCAGCATGCGTCGCCGATCATGTCAATCATTGAAACACCACAGACTTTATAAAGCATAACGTTATGTATAATCTAAACGGGTATGCGGATCACCTATCTCTCGCAACTAACACGGCTTCACACAACAGCACCACAGCGCTTATGCTGGTGCAAGACAGATTCTCCACACCTTTGGGTCATCTGTCTCTGCGATCCCAACAAACCTGGGATTTTTCAGCAAAAAATCCACCCGCCTTACCCCCTTCCGGGCCTCTTCACGCCCTTTACCCCGGACGCGTCTAGCGAAGGCCTGCTGTACACTCGTACCGCCCTTTACGAGCTTCATTTCCTCCGGGGTGACAAGCACGCGCAATGCGGTATATAAGGTCGTCGTCAGGTCTCGCACAGTGACGTAGTCTCCCTGCGGGAAAACATGAATTCTCCAAGGCAGATATTTGGAGACTAGAATGAGCATCGGAAGGCGCGGCTGCGTCGCGGGTTCATCAGAGAGCATCGGGATGTATTCGTGGAGGTCACTGGAAAGGTCGACATCTATATGCGTCGGCTGGAGTGAGGGGTGTACTTGGATTGCCCATGGTATATCACCATCAACAACCGTATCATCTTCATCGACGTCTGGAAGAGCAATGGTCCTTCGCAGCTGGTCAGGTGTTGGCGGAGGGTCAATATGCATTGGAGGTGACGCGGACATAGGGGAAGACAGGGACGAAGCACCGAATGTCTGGACAGCGAATGGATGCGGTAGGGCGGTGTAGTTGTTAACGGGAGATGGCGTACTGCTGAGAGAACGAGAATCGTAAACGACGTAACTGGTGTAAGGTTGGATCTGCCATGACGGCTGCGGTTGACTGGGACGACAGACGAAGCGCTGGTGAGGACGAGCCGTTACTGGTGAGGGCACTTGGTCGGAATCGTAAGCATACAGCTCGTTAGGCGAGTCCGCGAAATGAACAGATTTTGACTTCATGGTCAACATCCAAAGATTGTCAGACGAGAGAGCAGGCTTTATAGCAGGCCTTGCTAGATGACTGACCTAGTATCAGTGGGTATGTCGCAAAAGATTTCAAGGCGCAAGCGCTTATATCTTGGGTCTTAGATAGGGGCACCCGTATCCCGATTTCGCAAGAGCATTCCAAATCCATCCTACCTGTGAGTCATTTTGACAGTTTTCTTGTCTTTCCAGCTAATTTATATGATATCCCATACCGGCAACAGTATAGCAGGCCGCAAGCATAGCCCCGGAGTCATCCGGATCACACGGAGGCGCGCCTTCAGGGCATACCATTGTCCTTGGTTAGTTCTCGCGCCTCACAGGATCAAACGCCGCTGAATGTCTGGGTCGTCCCTATAACCGAGTGGGTATTCGTTGCCCGGATCTTGCTACCTCACAGCACCCAAGTATCGGTGTATTAGGATTCGGCATCGAGACCGAATGCAGAGCCGCCTGCAACAATGCCCTACCGAATATTCTCTTTTCCCTCTCTAGATCAATCAGAAAAGAACACGGCTGCACACTCGTACGCTGGTCCTGAAACCCCGTGATAGCGAAGGGAATTCATTGATGAGTGTTGTTCCATCAAATCTGGTCGAAGACAGGCAAAGCCAAAATTCATCATGATTTACACCGCACTATGATTCGCGACGCTATGCCAACTAATCAATGTGTATCGGCTTCGTGCTTGCTTTACAGAACTTACTGGTGCTGCAGACCCACCCCTTCGACGTGCAAACACACTGCAATGACTCTCAATGCATCTTATGTCGCAGGTTAATATTCACGGACTTGACGTTGGTGTAACTACAATTGCCTTGGTCAGCTGACTATATTAAAACGTTTCGCAAGGGGCTCACTTTTGAAGCGCGTATTCACTGAATTCTCTTCCAAATCCGGATTGTTTAAATCCTTCAAAAGGCACGTTAGCATGGCAGACATTGTAACAACTGACCTAATATGCGTTTCAGTTTCGTCACTGAAATCAGAGAGGATAGGCAGTCCCAAGCAGTCCCAGCTTTCAGATTATGTGCAGTTTCGAGAGCGCGAGTGATGTCTTTGGTGAATACCGCTGCGGCCAATCCGTAGACTGAGAAGTACGAAGTCAGTCGGAGACGCGGCAAGCCGACATTATGATGCATACATGTATCATTTGCTTGTTGAACAACATCTAATAAGCGCCAAAGAATCCACGTGAATGGTCAATCCACATGGAAGTGAAAGAAAGGCCCAGGGAAATTAAAACTTACCCTCTTCGTCTTCAAACTTGATGCAGCTGATGGGTCCGAAGATTTCCTCCTGGACAATATCCATATCGGGAGTCGTGTTAGTGAATATGATCGGTTGAACAAAGTACCCTTTAACGCCATGACGTTCTCCACCAAGATTGACTGTAGCGCCTTGCGCCTTGCCTATATCGATGAAGTTCATCACGCGCTAAAAGCTACCCGTGAGATTGCAAAAAAAAAAAAGAGAGAGTGGAGCACACACGTCAAATTGCCTCTTAGAAACCAGCGGCCCTTGAAATGAATAATGGGAACTGTAATATAAACGAGTTGATCAACCACGACTTGCCTTCATGACAATGCAGTTCCCAGTTGCGAGCGCTTTTAAGGTGCGTCACTTAAAGGCACATCGATGATCAAGTATGGAAGCACGTACCAGGTCCGAGTTTCATGACCATCATGAGAACTGGTGATTTGGATGATGAGTTCGTGTTTACTTCTCAAGGTATGACTGACTCGGGAAATTCCCTTGAAAACAAGGCACGTCAGTATCGACGTCGCGGGCACAATGGGAATTTTTTCGCTTACATGGAATGATTTGGCCCTGTGCACAAAGATAGCGAATAAGTACCCGGAGTGCTAAAGTGATGATCGACGTGCAACAACTCCGATAGGTTCGTGCCTGGTATATGTAAGTCGGCCCTCGTCCGTCTAGACTGCATATCAGTTTCGTATCCTGTCGAGGGAGCTCACAACTAACTTCGATTACTTTGCCCGCAATCTTATCAGCCCACCCGGCGTAATACTTCATGACATCGATAGATAGTGGCAAATCTGCTTTTTGCGCCCAACCATAGGTTTTACCTAATGAGGCCGGTTGAGATAACTGCGAATAGAAAGGTCTAGATGGAACTCGCCGTCATCCAGAGCCTCCAAAGCACACAACTTGTCCCTATTCTCAACCATGGCATTGGCAAGCTTGTGCATCAGGTCGGCGCGAAATGACCCCGAAACCTCGAGACCCCATGTAGCGTCGAAGGCCTTCTGTGCGCAGTCCACGGCTATATCCACGTCTTTAGGGGTGGCTTCGGAGACCTTGGTAATGATAGAGCCATCAGCTAGATAAAACAATTAGGGAAACGTCTTCGCGTAGTATGACGACGCACAAGGATTAATGACACTGAAAAGACGGTGCTGTCAGTCTGGAGAAGAAAATCTTCCCTGAGCCAACTTACTCAATTGCAGTGCCAGCAGATCCGTCGACAAACTGTCCGTTAATGAACAGTCCTGTGGGAAAAGATGTCGTTCCCTTATAAACGGGCGTTTCAAACTTGTGGGAAAAGTGCAGAGACATCTTCAATCGAGGCAAGGAACTCAAGAGCGAGAGCCCGCTAGAGCTCTTTATACACCTTTGCTCGCAAATCTGTCGCAGAAGTTTAAGTTGACGTACAGCACAGTATCCCGCCCGTCAGCTGAACCTTTCAGGTCCCTTTACTGCCAAATTCTCCTCGCAGCCGAGGAAACCTGAGAGGCAGTATTTTTATAGGCTCGAATCTACCTGAACATGATTAAATCAGCACTTTCAATGAGGTTCATGCGCACTATCAGAGCAGCTTACTGCCCTTGATGTAAGGTCATGGCCAGCATGTGACGTTCTGAGATCCACAAATATATAGTGTATAATGTATGCTATCTTATAAGGCCTTCGTCAGTATGTAAACCAATACAATTTGTTCAAGATCCGACCTATTATCGCCTTGGCCTGCACCTGTGGCTATTCGGCAGCGCAGAGGGAGCCCGAGAAAGCCCGACCGAGCAGCACCAGTGCATTGTCGCGTTAAGTGACACCATTGACGTGTCAAGATTCCTAGTGCCACCTACTTTACGATAGCTTCCCACGGGCGGCTCCGTTATCTTCATCATGTACTTTTAGCTTCGTGAACTCTAACATAACGATGGTTCGGCGTTTAATTACCGAGGGTCATTTGACGGGCAGGATATCCTTGGTGGATCGCAAATGGTATTGCACTCCCTCGGTCGAAAAGAGTCGCAAGTGCTAACGACTGTTGGACTTGCAGACGTTGAGAGGTACAGCTGACTCTGTAAGCCCCGTAGGATCACAGAAGCTCCCATCCTTGTGCCACGATTCGGTACGGTATATGGTCGTTTAATTTCCACGATTGAACATCCACCTTGCAAACCTTCCTGGGCCTCCTTTCGGATCAGAAAAGATCGGCTCGGCTTCTTAGGCCTTAGTCAGGAAAAGCCGCAAGTGGGTATGTACTCCAACCACTACCGCCACTGCGATAAGCCCCTGAAACCCTATCACCCGATGTACGATCTGTCTCCACTTTTCCCTTGCACGTGTGGCTCCCACGGCAGTCAAGGACGTTCTGACGCCCTCTCCACACTATACAAATGCACCTTTCTTGCCAGCTGACAACAGGAGGACTGCTGTAAAGATTCATTGCGCACGGGAGTACCGGATATATAGCCGAGTGTGGTATTGATTTTTCGATTGACCGTGGGCAGTGGAGGGTGACATTACGACGAATCTAAAGTTGCCGCGCCCCGAGAGCTATTTTCTGTTCCACGACCAAGAAACATGAGGAAGCCGCGAGGCGAGATAGCAACAGCACCGGATTTCGGAAGTACAATTTCAGAAGATAAAACACGTACGTTCAACAGCCCTCGCTCCTCGTCCAATCTCTCCAGTCCATGTCAAGCAAACGAGTACACTGGGACGACGATATCAAGCAGATACCTCCCCCAGTTGAGATCTACACTCCTCCACCTCAACTGCCATCCCGTGCTCAACCGGATGTAACATCAGGTGAATCTATAGGGCCTCGTCCGTGAACCTGACGCTGACGCTACTGTTATTTTCAGGTGCCCCGTTACCGAAAGCATCTGGTCTGCTTCCGTACACTTCCTCAGTATCCTCCACGTATTCTGCTGTCCCACCAGGGCAGCCAATTTCCGGTTTTCATCATAATACCGCCCCACCGGTTGCATCATCAGCTTCTTCCTCCAGTGCGCGACGTCTACGTCACTCGTCTCCATACACTTCTCTTCGAGCTCTCTTCTCCGCACATACACGAAAGCGACCAAACGCAGCACCTAACCCGTACTTTCTTTCTCATTCTTCCCCTTATATATCTTGGACACAGTATGCGGGTCCGTCGCATCTTTCCTCGTCAATAGCCATACATCGGGCTCTGAGACTGGGAACATGCCCGCCTATTGATTTCTTCTCGCCGAAGCGCGTCAAACCGCATGCTTCGGTGGCGTCGCAGTTTGCCTCTCATCCTCCTCTACCTAGGATTCTGATGTTCGTCGAGATAGAAAACAATGGATTCAACATTGAAGTGCGAACACGGAATGGAGTAGGCGTCACCGTCGAGGATGTGCTGCTGCGTGCGCAGACTGTTCTTCGTGCCCTGATAGGGCCAGAAATCCTGGGCGGATGCTACAGGCAGAAGTGCACTTGTGGAGTGGACATCGATAGAGTAAGCGCATTTACTACATTGTTCTTCGGGTTGAGTGTGGGAGGGGGAGCTATGCTTCACGAGGATCCGACAGTTTGGAGGATGCATCTGAAGCGTGTCAGGGCAATGTAAAGGTGCTGGCTGTCGGGGTATGTCTCGATGACTTGTATAATAGTATTGTAGCACATTCTATAACTGTGTATTTCTTCGGTCACTGTAGTTTGTAGTGCCATAACTACATCTTATGATATCAAAGGAGGGTTCAGCTCGACGAAATCAGATAAAAATGACATTCACCTCTCACCTCCAGGGGAGGGCGGACCGCAACTGATCCGGAAACGCGTCACATAAAACACGTTGCACTAGTAATCGTTGTTGAAGAATCACAGCAAAAAGCTCCCGAAGCGTAAACTGGCGAGCATTGATATGGCTGGACTCCGTGCCCGAAGAATTGTGGGATCAGTAATAGGTTTGATTGCCTGCCTCAGAAAGAAGCCATACTCCCCACCTCACAACCATCTTCGCGGACCACCTCATCTTATTCATCCGGCACGAGATGGAACCTGATTGGTTCCCCCCTTCGCATCGTGGCATGCCATTAGTATTCAATGTCCTACTTGCATGGATGTGCCGTGGGAAGAGCGACTTTGATGGGAATACGATGTGACAAAGAACAGAGCAGTTGGATTGCGGAAGAAGAGTCTATTACGCGAGAAGTTGCTCTAGGCTGGTATGTTGACATCGCACAGCTGCAGCCTGCCGTTTGACGTTAGCGTGAAGGAAAGCGCGTGATATTTTCCAGTTCGATCTGCCTTGAATCCAAGCTGAACTGAAATCCAGGATGCCACTGGCAACTCGAAGAAATTAACAACCAGAAGAAGGAAGTAAAGATATGAGCTACCTTAGCCGAAGAGCACTTTCGGCAAATACAGTGAAGTTTTGATAACGCGAAGCGACAGCAGCTCTCCACATGACGTCTGAAACGCCACGCATCAGCGCATCAATTAGGCAGTGGATTCGCCATTCCCGTCGTCACACCTCAAAAGGGGGCCCTTCAAGTCGGCGGTAGCGGCACCGTAAGGACCGGACGCTTCTGCATCATGAGGTTTAAATGCTGTGCTGTAGTGATGAAACCACTCACGAAAATATTCCCTGTGACAAATGACTCTATCTGGAGGCGGGTACATGTATTACTAGATTTTCAGAAAATGAAGGCCGGCCCAAAGTCTTCACGACGATAGCGAAATATTGCGAAGGCAAGCCTGGGTTAGGGTGCGATGATTGGATTCGGATGGGAATTGTTGAGGTGCGAGGCTTTGGGAGGGATCTTTGGCATAGAGTCGAAGGAACCCCAAAAATAGGCAGGGGAGCCGTGTCGCCATGCAGACGAAATCTGCTGGTCAAAAAGAGCCACGCCATGTTTTATCTAGACGTCAGCGCACAAAATGATACGATGCCATGTCACAGTCCGAATGTTTTTGGTGCATGAAGTCAGCGAGGACGTTGGCTGGCACTGTGGGATGTCCTAAACAGCCGAATGCAGATTTTCAACCCATTTCAGCTTCAAACAAGGCAAGCAAGCCGTGTCAGTCACCCACAGTCACCCGGACGAGATCGACTGATTTTCCATTTTTCTGTCCGAATGTTTTGGGCTTCGTGACATGACCTCCCAACTTATTTTGGGGCGTCCTAGAGTTGATCGTAAGGGCCTTTTGGTAGCGCGTCGCTGCTTTGTCAATGACTGGTACACATTTCCGGTGACAACAGATGAGTGTCATTCCGATGTCGCTTGGACTGTGCTCCGGATACCACCCCAAAGACTGTTTATGACACTGTATCTCGGCCGGGATTAGGAGCTTCTAACATCTCGTCCTGAACCACCTGTTCATTCTTTTTTTATAACCACCGGTGTTGTCAGAAGCGCTGTACAAAGTCGAGAAAAAGCTCTAAGAGAGTAATGAAGGATCGCAACCAAAGACGTGCCTAGCGTTGGACCATAACGTCCAAAAATGTTCCACCTGCGCACTCGCCTCACTTTCCCGGATGCCTTTCGATGTGTGATCTGATCGCATTATCACAGTTTGTCCCAGCACTTTGCCCGACTGTATGCGTTTGCTGAGGAGGACTGGATTGCACGCAAATGTACCGGATCGTGGACATCTCCAGGCTGCTGCATCAACGTCTTTGATCCTTATCGGTTTTTCATGTAACATCGCTCCTCGTATATGCCCCCTCCCTCACGATGCTGTTAATCCGTTCGGGGACAGGACGTCTACTCACTATCTAAACCTGACTATATGGGCTTCAATAGAGTCCATACAGGTCGTAGATCAAAGATACACGTACTAATGAAAGACTACCCATGCCCGAGTTCTTCGCCAAATCCTAACCATGTTGGTGTCCTGCAAGTGGATCCCTCGCGATGGCGACCTTTATGCCTAGCATTGCTCTGAGGTCGATCTAAATGCTGGGTGCCGGTGCCGGTGTAAGGCCTGTTTGAGAAAATCGAGTAAGGTGGCCGTCTCTTCAGTCAGCAAAGACCCATACTGCTTGAATCTTGTCTTCCGCTATCTTGCCGTCGTCTATCCACACGTTCAAATTGACAATCTACAGATGCCATAAATACAATGGAACCGTCCTGCGCGCCATTATTACCGCTAAAATGCGGAATATCAGTATGATTCGAATAGGGCGAACGACCGACGTACAAGATCTTGCTATCGTGTTGCGGTACATGTACATCGAAAACGTGAGGAAAGCTGGAAGAGGAAACTTGGTAATGGTGAAAGTTGGTGAAAGGCGCTGTCGGACCATGATCCCTATCATCGATTGGACTCGGACCTTTCGGCCGTAGTCACTCTCTTAAAGTGCTCTTTTACCCAAATGAACAAACAAATCCTCTGTGAGTAGCAGGAAACGAAGTTTCTTTTCTATTACTTAGTTACACTTATGTGGGTTTTACATGAAGGTATTGACGTCTCGTTTATGTTATACATAATGATGGAAAGATATGCGTTTTATTTGGATGCTCTCTCATTGCATCAAACGAACAGTCTTTCCGTTGATGAAAGAAATGCAGCAATCCTGAAGGACTCGGAGATCTGTGTCGATCACTGTCTCGCTTACATCTATGCAGATATTTCCGCCCTTCGCCAACTCACAGAGAAACTCCGCCTATTGGAGGAAGCCAAGCGCAATCACCGAGCAATCCTATCCCCCATCAGTACCCTTCCCCTCGAAATTCTGAGTGGTATCTTCTTCTATGTCACTAGTGATCCCACCGACATATTTGATCCAAATCATTTAACATGTGCCATTAGCAAGATCTGCCAGCTGTGCCGGTCTGCCATCCGAGTCACAGCTCTTTGTCCAGACATATGGACGAAGCTATTGATTGGTTGCGAAAGTCAGGATGGTGTGGAAATACATGAAGATGGTGCTCTCTTGATGCATCATTATCTTGGTCAAATCAACGCAAGCTGGAAATCTCGACGACTGATGTATCCTTCGATTGGAGAGCTCCAAAAGACAATCTGGCCGCGTTTGACTATGTACGCTGAGCGCTGGCGCTTCCATTGGAATGGATGGACGACACCAAGAAACGGTACGCCGAGGTGGCGGGAAAGGTCTACAACCCGGATGCAATGCCAGGACATCGGCCAGTACATTCTTGTCTTCGGGAAACTCAACATACAACCATTGACGACGTAACTTGGACATTGTGTTAGCCTACATGACTAGGGCCATCTTTTGGTACTGGCTGGTGCAGTTGTCTGCAGGTAGTTGTGCGGGTCGCCGGGACGAGAGCATTTGCTTTTCTGTGGCCATACCCCCAGACTTCGCTACAATGAATCATGGAAATATATTGCGCTCGTTGAAATACAAACATGCTCAATAATATAGTAGACTGTAGTAGACTACAGAATAACCCATGTGCCGACACTTTGTAGGAAGAAAATGATTCAGCTGTCGTCATACTCCAAAGGATCACAGGAATAATCACATGTTCTTGTACCAAGAAGAGTTACGTCAAGGCCATCAGCTTGTAAAGCCTTCAACTCTTCGATATCATCTCCAGTCAGATTACAAAACCTGGCATAGTCCCCAATCAGGCCGAATTTGCGCAATGAGAGATGGCGCCTAGCTTCAACCATCTTCACCATGGTGCGATCGGCAAACCGAATGTCTACTTTCCGACGGATCGGCAGATTCAGCTCAACCTCCTCGAGGTGGGGTATAAATTCCTTCATGTCTGCAAGCTGGACGATAAATTCCCACATAACCATATCGTCCTGGTCATTCCAGGTATACTGGCATAGATTGAATGAGGTGAGGGCGGACGCCAATTGGAGGTTGGAGAGAAGATGCTGATTGAGGAGGTCGATGGATATATTTAGGTAATTAAGAGTGGAGCAACGCGATTCGACAAGAAGGTCGTGGAAATCAGCGAGGAAATCTGATGGAGACTCGGGCTGCACGTAAGAGTCCGAAATCAAGGTTGCTTCCTTCAGAGCCGTCACAGAAAGACTGCGAAGGAATACGGTATTATTGACCACCAACTTGGACAACAAAGGTTTCGAAATATGAGGGGAAACAGTGTCATAAGATGAATACTGGCAGCAGATGTCAATCGCTGCAAGTTTGGGCGAGTTGCGGATAATATTGAACAAATATTCGAGTGGAATCCCGTCGCCTGTGTCCCATTCCTCGTCATCGCATAACTCGACTCGATACTTGAAACTCTCAAGCCTCGGAGCAGTAGTGGGACTAGAGTATTGGAGACCATCCCTTGAAACTCCATGTGTGTCAGCTCCGGAGCATAGTCAAAGGCATCGATCGTACATTCAAATCTTGGTCCCATCTCGTAGCTGTAGAGAACGCACTCTTTAAGCGAGGACAGGCGCCCGCGAAGATCACCCAACACGTGCATATCAATTGGATGGAGGAAAATATAAAGTTTCTCCCAGCGTTCGACATGCAAGGTTAAAGCGTCCCAAATGTCGTTTTGAAGCTCAAGGACTGGATGACTTTCGTCGCAAGTAAAATCGAACTCCATGGTGATGTCTAACTTGTGATTTTGCGAACGAGAGAATACTGTCTCTAGTACTGATAAGAGAGCATCATCTTTGAGCATCTCTGCCCTCTCACTGATGCAAAGAACTGATATTTTTGTCCATACCTTAGGACAGTGGACCGTGATGATAGACCGCCACAGTTGGCAGACCTTGCTAATGGCCCATGCTGGACGGCTGGTGTTAAAGATGTCGATAGGATCGCTCTCGGCACAGAAAAGGATATCGATCAAAAGTTCGGGTGGAAGAATGCTGGCTGGGGATAAAGCCGCTCGGTGATTGTGTTTGGCTTCCCTCAGTAGGTGGCATTTCTCTCTGAGTTGGCGAAGGGCGGCGCTCAAATGGGAAATATCTGCGTCGATGCAGGCAAGATGGTGGTCGACGCAGAGCTCTGATTCTTTCAGGATCACTGTGTTCCTTTCATCAAAGACAGCGCGGCTTATTCAATGCGGTAAGAGAACATCCAGATAAGATGCATATCTTTCCATCACTGTTTGTAGGTCAAAGCCTTCATGCATGACCTACACAAGCAAGGAATCTGAGTGATTGAAAGAAAACCATTCATTGTGACTCACAGAGGATATGTTATTCATTGCATGAGAGATGTTGGCAAACTGAATCAAATAGCTTGACCCTCTGGAGTAGTGATAAACAGCTACCATGACTAGCAGAGAGATGTTCTTTTGTTCAAAAGTTCTTGCTTGAGGTGGGACTCTACAAGAGAATATCATAATGTGCAGAACAAGTATAAATCATAGGAGTCAAATGTTCCCTCATTTAGATTCATATTTCCATGCCACAGATGCATTTTGTCTCAGATGGTGGTACTTCTGGTCAAACAAAACACCATACTTTTATGCAGTCCCACAGAGTACATGTTAATAGTGTCTGACATTACAATGAATGACAATTCACAGGTTGGAGAACAACTGCATCTCAGATGGATGCTGACTGCAATATAACATACACTAGTGTTTGCACATATTAAACATAAGATTGAACATGAAAGCAGCATTCTCTCTGACAGAAATTGTTTGCTCATCCATCAACTCAAGCCTCTGCTTCTCTGCCTCCTTCCTTATCATGAGGTCCATAAAGTTCACAATGAGGCCCAGCAACTCCTGAGAGAGGTGTCCCAATCAACTTGTACCTTCTGCTGCCAGCCCAAGCAACTCTTGTGACCACCAGTCCTGGCTCTGTGGTGGTACACTTGTCATTGATGGCCTTGGGCTCTCAAGCTCAGAGTCAACCAGGAACAGTGCAATATTTCTGCATTGATGAAATTCCCAGAATCATCTGAAAGTCTCCAGTTGCTTAAAGCCCTTTCTTTTCCTTTCTATCCCTTTCTGTATTTTCTCTTACTCAGCCTAATAAACTCATTATGACTCATGACTTCACAAAACTTGTCAAACCTTCTAGTAACATCCATTTGTATATAAACATAGCTATAAAACATGACTAGGTATCTAATTCCTACAACCCATCTTGAATCCTACACTTTGCATGACCTCAAGCCATGGAAACTAAGCTTTGTGTTAGTCCTGTTAAGCTCTCTTAGTTAGTATCCTAGGCTTTGTGCTAGTCTGCTAATCTATTTCAAGATACCAGTAAGATTACCTTGAGCTTGCTTGAACCCATACTTTGCTCATGGATACTATCTTCTCATAAGTCATGCTCACATTCTTATTCTCTTACTCATTATACCTCAACTACTAAACCCTTGCTCTATCAATTAGCTATAGCATCTGAAGCCTACAACACTGATGGATACATTGGGACTTGCTCAAGGACACAGTGTATTTACAACTCAATTTACTTGCATACTTATCTCCACTGAGTGTACAACTTCATTCTGAATACAATATCAGTTAAAGGCTCTAGTAATGCACCAGGAGTTCCTCCAGGACTCAATAAAGGAAAGAATTCTGAATAGAACAATCTCTTTCCATTTGAGACTCTAAGGATAAATTACCAGGCCACTTTCAATATGGAAATGTGACTCACAGATGATAGAAGCATAAACTAGAAGTGGAAAAACCAGATGAAGAACCTGCTAGTGAGAAAAAAGGAAGTTAATGTTCTGATAGAACAGACTATTTCTAACTTGGCATAATTGATGGTCCACTATCAACAAATGAGTATGATGAGGAGAAAATAGCAAGCATGACACTGGATATACCAACACTGAAGTCATTCTTGATGATTAAGAATGAGACATGACAGCTACTGAAATAATGAAAGTTTGTCTTGGAAATTGCCTTAAAAGCAATTGACATAGACCTTTTAAAGTTTCAGACCTTGCCATGTCAGAAGCTGCAACAAGTATTTAAGGAGAAATGGGCCCTAGTCAAGATCATATTCTGAGATACTTTATATGTCAAATGCAAGAGCAACAATATGGATCCAGAAAAAATTACATTTTATATCAATATAAGAGCTTACAGATTCTGATATGTATGGAAAATTGAGAGAATTAGCAATGTATTTGCTACTCTTGTTTGGGAGGACAGCTATAGAGGTTCTGGAATATGGGTTTTGGGACTTATCTGACATATAGCTGCAGCCAAATAAGTGGGAAATCAGTGGCATAGCATTCATTGCTGCAACAGAACATTTCCTATAGACCTTGGACATCTACCATGATTTTAACACTAGAAAGCCTAAGATAATAACAGAAGAATATAAATAATGGTCTATGAAGGAGTGAGTAATATAATAAGAGACATGGTAATGGTATACATACCTCAGTCAGGCACAGCATAGGCAACATGACTGAGGTATGAGTATATATGGCCAGGCTACATAGATGAGTAATGACAGGAAGTGTGTATATATAGTAAGTAGAAATAAATGATGATCAAAGGAATATGACAATCAAAAGGGTAAATACATGGGTATACATATAGATATCCTCCAACATAGAAGTCCTAAGATCAGTCATCTTGTAAAATATAAGAAGGCTGCAAGAGCAAATGAGCAGTGCAGATCAGATATCATGATCTAATATCAAGCTGACACACCAGATGGCATTGTGAGTTGGAGTGACATGTGATGTGCCAGCTTTGGTGAGAGCACTCCTCTAAATAGAAATATCTCCAGTCCTGGATGATTTTTTACTCAGAGGAGTGAAGTATATAGTAAACATGATTCTATTTCTCCATCATTTAAATTAGAAGAAAAACCCAGAAAGAGATGAGCTGTATGAATCCTACTATAACAATATTGAGGAAGAAGAAATAGGTGATGACATGTTAGACAATCCTCTGAGCAATAATAGTGATGATGAAGATGATCAAAAGAAGAGTTGGAAAGAAGGTCTTCTAAAAAGGAATAGTAGAAATAGTTCACTGGAGGATTCTCTATCAGGAGATGATAGTGATAATAAAAGAGACCTTTAGTGATGTTGCACCCCATATGATAACTTGCCTCCAGCTTTGAAGACTACTAATTGAAAGGTTAATGAAGTTTATATAGAATATAAACTGAAAATTACAGATATATCTATCTGGAATGGAAATGCAAATAGTATTATTATTACCTGACTTCTTAAAGTCAATGATCTTGCTGTTTGAAGCACTTTAGTAAAACAGACAGTTAGGCAAATTCATACCTAAATGACTTACTAGAGCTGCAGATATATGTCATTATTTCTTGCCATAAAGGTATTGACACTCAGTAAAAGTCAACTGGAAGATGCTGAGAAAAGCAATCACCACATACTACATAAACTGTAAATAAATGTGAATAGTGACATAAGCAAGCAAGAAATTCAATATACTGGCAACCAGAATACTCTTGCAAAGCTCTTAGTGAGTATTATATCTAAAAGTCTGAGTTACTAAATATCATTTATGATATAAGTGATACAGAGTTGATCAATGAAGTCATAGAAGATGCACCAGAAGTTTGAAACACTATTCTGATAATCCAACTCTATAAAGATGCAGTGGAATTTCAAGCAAGCATTAAATACCATGAGAAAGCTTTTATTAATCTTACTCTAATGTCTTCTCATAATCCATATTCTCAAGATAACAACAACACCAACTTCAGGAACAGAAAAACCAATGTGCATGTAAATCTCATAGGATAGTTCAGTAACTTTCTTCCTCTTCCATTTCAAAGAGATGACTCTAATATAACAAAGAAAGGTTTAACATTTAAGCAGAAGAGTGCAAGATCTTGTCAGCATTGTAGAAGTGATCAACACTGAGATCCAGAGTGTAAGTACCATAATAATGATATGAGAACTGCATGTACATGACTTGCTAGTACTAATGTGAAACATCCAGAGGCACAGAACAAATATGAGGACATGTATTATGCATTGAATGAGAAACTTACTAACTCAATAGAACAAAATTTTTATGAGAGCCTTCAGTCTACTGAAGTTTTATGCAATCTTGCAAGGATAAGCAAGAATAAACCTGATAAGAGTACATGCCTGGAGAGTGAATCAAACATTGAATCAAATAGTTGAAAGAATAAGAAAATCTTCTATATATCAATAATAAGTGACCTGAAAACTGAATATAAGAAGCCAGCTCTTAATCATCAAAGTTGATGATATCTAGTCAAGAAAATACAGAAGATGACATACCTAGTCTGACCAGAAGTAAGTCTGCATTCTGACCAGCCACTAATTGAGCTCTGAAAATACCTGAAATGCCCATTCAGATGTATATTTCTAGACAGTAAGGCCATTCAAGCAATAGCAAAGATAAATAGACTAGATGATAAAATGATTAAAGTGATTGTTAACTCAGGATTAGATATTATCTTAATATCACAGGAATATCTTCAGACACTGCAAAAACCACTTAGGCTATATGCTGAACAGAAAATTAATCTGATTCAAGTAACAGGAACTTCAATGATCTCACAATATTTTAACCTTGATCTATTTTTCAAAACAGAGAAAGTACTAGTTAAAATCAACATGGATACATATTCAGTACTAGGAATAAGTACTCCATTCATTTTTAGCAATGATTTTGCTGACTAATACTCAATCTCAGTAATTTAAAAGGATGGTCAATGTCTCTTGAGATTTGATGAAACTGATTGAGAACTGAAAGTGAAGAATTCAATGTCTCCATTACTCTAAGATCAAGAAGGAAATATCTTTCAAGTTAAATTTCTTTCATCTGAAAGGATATTTGCCTTCAAACATGTATTACATTGTAAATCCCAGCAACTAAAGGGCAACATTTGAGTTTAAAAGAGTCAGAGGCTTGTGAGAGCATCTAGAAGAATCACTCTTTTTCTAGAAACTTGCATCAAGGTTTTAGTTGATATAAATCAGTACAAACTATTATCTACTGTGTTTATAGAAAGGCATGTTCAGTATGATTCAGATAGTAAAAAAATTTATGGCTCATCTAATCTCTTTATTACAGATGAACAGGCCTTTTTACATCTGTCTCATTTCTCAGACACTCCTATTGTCATAAGTTAGAAACAGGTTCTGAGAAGAGCACACAATCCTAGAAATTAGCTGGACAGATTTAGTGATAATATAACATCAAGAGAGGATCAAGCCAGACAGGCAATGCTAATTCTGACTATTTTGGACTTGAGAAATGGCAAGCTGAGTTGCAATCATAGCTGTGCATTGATTCAATCAGACAGTGATATCACTTTCAGAGCACAGTATAATGCCTTTGAGTCTGATGATCCTTCAGCTCAAAATCTGGTGGTAGATGGACCAAAGACAGCTGAGTTTCCATCTGAAGACTATTCTGCTAGTGAGATTAATAAACTGTTAGACTTATCTTCAGATTTAAACACTGAACAATGAAATCAACTGCACAAAATGTTATTTGAAAATATAAATGCTTTTAAACTTGACAGATGCCTTAGAAATCATAATGTACTAGTGGAGATTAATCTAAAACTGGACTCAAAATCAATTTCATTGCCTCTATTTTCAGTTTCACCTATTAACTGTGAAGTTATGGATAAACAGATTGACTCATAGATACAGTTGAGAGTAATTGAACCATCTAAAATCCTATGTGGAGCACTAGCATTCATTACCTATTAGAATGGAAGATCACAGATAGTTATTGATTACTGACAACTTAATTCTATGGTGATCCCAGATGAGTTTTCACTGCTAAGGAAAGATGATATCATGCAGGCTTTAAATGGTTCTTAATGGCTCACTATACTAGATGCATTATCAGGTTTCACATAATTAACTGTGCATCTGAAATCTTGAAAGCAGCTTGCATTTAAATCTCATCAAGAGTTATGACAGTTTACATGAATCCCATTTGGATATCAAAATAGGCCTAGTATATTTCAACAGATCATGCAGAATATCCTTGCATTATTTCTATGGATATTTGCTTTAATCTATATTGATGATATTATTATTTTTTCAGCTACCTTTGAGAAACATCTGCACTATATAAATTAAGTGTTGAAAGCCATCATGAGGTCAGAAATCACACTTTTCCTGCTAAAATACTATTTTGCTTATCAGTAATTGCTACTTCTTGGACAAAAAGTCTCTCAGCTAGGAATGTTGACCCATAAATAACAGGTTAAAGTGATTTTGATGCTGGAAGCTCCGAGAAACATATATGAGTTACATATTTTTCATTATATATCCTCTTTTATGCTTGGATTGCACATTCATTGTTTCAGCTCTTATAGAAAGGTGTTATCTGAGAATGGATTAAACTGCATCAGAAAGCATTTGACTTATGCAAACAAGCCTTCATCAATGCTCTGGTATAAGGGTATACTAAAGAAGGATCTTTTTATCAAGTATATACTAATGCCTGTGATTATAGACTTGCTGAAATTCTACAACAAATTCTGCAAGTAAAAATTTAGAATCTTCAGGAATCAAAGTTGTATAAACACTTGCAAAAGGCATATAAGAGAGGAGAGCCAGTTTCTATGCTAGTTTCTAGTATATCAAAGGAGTTCACCAATGTATCTTCTGCTGGATCTTGGGAGAAGAATTTTTATGAGACAACAATTTATGTTGAATATGTCATCATATATTAGTCTTATATGTTGAAGTCAGCTGAATGGAATTACTCTCCAACAGAGTGCAAAGCTTTTATACTAAAAGAGGCTCTGATCAAGTTTCAATCTTTCATAGAAAGTGAAAGGATCTTGGCAGTAACAGACTATACAGCTTTAATCTGGAGTTAGACATTTCAAAATGTGAATCACTGATTACTAATCTGAAATGTAGTTTTTTCAGCATTTTCTAATTTACACATAGTATACTGTGCTGAACATGTACACTCCAATGTGAATCTAATCTCTCAGTTATAGCAAAGAATTCCTGCAGAATCTAGACCTTTTTCAGATTAGATCAGAGCAGTGGATTTATCTCATAATGTCACAAGAAATCTCTTTAAGAAATATGTATAAGGAACTTGATAATTATTTTGAGGAAAAATTACTTACTATAGAAACAAAGTATATTGAGACAGAATCTAAGATCAATATAAGCACATTTATAGTTGATCTTGGTGAAGTCACCATTGAGAATACAGAGAGAATCTCATATGCTTATGCACATCTAATCTTGGCCAAGCATTACAATATACTGATTAGAGTAGATGATCATGAGTTAGCATAATAGAAACAGGCATATGAGAAAGACTCACTGTATAGAGACATCATTATCTCTCAACAAGATGCTAGTGTTACTAATCAGAAGTATCTCTAATACTTTTATTCAGACAATGAGTTAGTCTATTTTGAAGATGGAAACAGATATAACAGGTTCTGCATACTAAAATCATTATGACTCTATGTAATGAGTGACATCTATGACTATTTTATTAAATTAGCTTACAGGAGTTATCACAAATATTACAATTAGCAAGCAAGCAGTCACTACTGGCTGGAAATGTCCTGCAACCTAAAAAAAATATATCAGTATCTGTAATATCTGTTAAAAGATAAAGCTATGCCATCATGATCCTGTTAGTTTATTCCAACCAATCTCTATTTTAACATGTTCATTTGAAGTAGTCTCTATGAATTTTATATCTGAACTTCTGAAATTATCAGAATATAATAAAATTCTTATTATAATTGATAAACTCACAAAATTTAGCATATTCATTCTATATAGTATGAAAATCACTGAAATCAAGACAGCTGAGCTGTTTTTTCACTATATCATATTCAAGTTTGAGATTCCAGCATAAATAATTACTAACTATAATATATAGTGAAGAAATAAGCTCTGAAAAGAAATGTGTCAATTTATAAATAATAAGATGGGCTTTAACAACATCACACCATTCTCAAGCAGATAGACAAATAGAGATCCTAAACTAAGGGTTAAAAATTGATTTGAAAGCATACATTGGATCTGAACACAACAATTGAGCCCAGCTTCTAGATGATTTAAGTGTCTCCTACAATACCACTCTATACACAGCTACAGAATACTCACCAGCATTTTTTCTCTATAGTTACCACCAACTATAAAGTCTTCTCTACTCACTCATCCAGTATATATTTTATAATCAATCAGAGACACTATGGCTTAGAAGAATAAACCAGATGAAATTCATCAGAGTGATGAGAATGATTGCACTATTGATCTGGTGGAATAACTTGAGGCAGAATGATCTCAAGCAAAGTATATACAGTTGACTATCTCACAATGCATGATGTTGAAATGCATAATTCTGACTTTGCATATGGATTGGGCTGGAATGCAGTTGGAGAGCAGGGAAATAGGCTAGAAATGCATATCACATAATGCATATAGTTTTAGTTAGGAATATGCATTGTCAGATCCAAAATTGTAGTAAGCTGATATGACATTGTGCATATATTAGAACAATAAAGAACATAATTTGTTTGTATAGACTATAACAAATATTAAAAAAATTATTATAAAGCAATGCAGCCTATATCTCTATAAACATGCCTCCTGAACCAACATGAAAACCACATGCTAAACCTGGAAATCCATATGAGCATACAAAACAGAAAGAGAAAGTTCCAATGTATACATCATCAGCTCAGCCTCCAAAGCAGATCTCTTGCCCACACCTCACAACAGAAGACTGGCTTGTAGTATTCAAATATGTTGATAACTATCCTTCCCATTGATATGCTAACATTGTGGCACATTTTGCAAACCAAAAGGAAGATGCACTGCTCTTTACTCAACCAACTCTTTCACAGAAACTGGTATCTCATACAAAAATCAAACAGCATGCAAATGAGAACCCTAATGCACTATCATCTAAGAAGTCTTGCATTGTCACCTGATCTGATGTGGAGCATGCTGTTGCATTCTGGTATCAGAATATGCAGCTCCAAGATGAAACTGTGACTGGTGCAATGCTGATAGAGAAGTGAAATTGGATTAAAAATCTGATGAATATTCCAGAGGATCAGTGTTTGAAAGGAGAGGGATGGTTGAGGTCATTCTGCAGGGCATGGAAGATTCAGGAGGTTTGGCAGCATGGAGAAGCAGGCTCAGTGGATATGGTGGCAGTGGAAAAAGAATATTGATGTGCTTGGTAATAGCTAAGTGACTAAGAGAGGTGAATGAGAAATGAACTCTCAAACACCAACACCTAACCACTCAATACACAATCACCAAATACAGTTGAGGTCAGTTTTTTTGAGTACAGTAGAAGCACTCTTGCAGTCTTAAGTAAAATCAAAGAAACAGTCAATAAAGACAGTTATTCAACTCTATCTTGCTTCCAAAGATGCAATACTCATGAGAGTAGTTTATAGCAATGTTTAAGTATAATTAGGACTTAGAATCAACACCAAATTGTGCTCCAAATCAACTTAGAATATTCTGAAACTCAAATACTAAGTCTATCAAGCACTTAGGCTTGACTAGCTGCACTCTGGGCTGACTAGCAGTCCTCAAAACCAAAGAACTTGTATTCTGATGCTGAAACCCTTATAGTTTAGAACCCAAATTAATCTGAAACCCAAAATACAGTTATTATTCCAATCCAATCCTCTCTCTAAGTGACAAAGCAACTTAAATAAATCACTAAGTCGAAGCAGAACTCAAAATCCGTTGTCCCAGGGACTAGCTACAGTGAGCTAGAAGGCCTGAATGTGGAGGTGGGTTGCTTGCTTGCTATTTCCCCCCCATTCCCTTCTTTTATACACCAACAACAGATATAGAATCTATAAATAAAGCATTCAAAATAATATTTCTCCTGTTTAAAGCGGAATCACGCTATTATTCTGGAATGGTGGTACTTCTGGACTTCCCTAGGCTTGTCCAGACCTGCTTGGCCACTGCACAGCTTTATTTTAAGCCTACAGTGCCTGTGGGTACCTAACTCCTTTCTGTCTACTCAAAGTTTTAATCCTCTGAGTTATTCTTAGTAGCTTGATCAATCAGGCCCAATCAACCAGTCCTATCCACTCTATTCCTCTCAATTCTAAGTCCCTTAAGTCACCTGATACCTAGAAAATTTGGACTTAGGCATTTGAGTCAAAACTCACAGTGCTAGCCACAGATTATTGGGTCTCTCTTCTTACTGCTCCTGGATGATGCTATCTCTACTCAATACTCCACAACTGGCTATAGTATTATACTTCTAGCTGTCTTAGAATATACTTGTCTTAGTGGCATGTAGAATTGGCCTCATTTGAGGTACCATTTTTAAGTCCAACTTGGATTTAGTATTTTTCAAGGTGTGGTGCCAAACTTTTCTAAGTTCAAACCTGACTTAGGATTTTTATCCTTAGACCATGTTATTTTTACAAAGTTCAATTTGGACTTAGTATTGGTGACTAGCATGACTATCAGCTTGGAGCCTCAGCCATAGTCCTCTACTGGCTAATGATCCTCAGTTACTAGCATATTCTAGTGTGTTATGCAGAATTTGCAAATTACAGGGCTGAACATGTAGTCTGCATATCAATGTGTGCACCTTCATAGCATTATAGTGAAATATATGATACAGGACAGATGGAATATTGATAAATCTGGTCTTGTCATCTTTGCCATCTCAGATCATACCTTGGCATCTGGTTCTATGAGTGGATGGAAACAGGACAAGTTCCACATCACCATGTGTTTTGCTGTGAATGCAGATGAGAGTGAGTGGATGCCAGTTGTTTTCATTGGAAAGTTGAAGCAACTATAGTGTTTCAAAAAAAAGAGTCCAACAGCAATGGGATTCTATTATCAGAATAACAAGAAGGTCTGGATAATGAGTGAAATATTTACAGAGTGGATGAAAATGTTTGATTTAAAGATGAAGAGGGAGATGCAACAGATTCTGCTGACCTTGAACAACTTTTGAGGGCATTTCATTGCTTATACACCCCATAACACAAAGCTGGAGTTTTTCAAGCCTAACATGACTCCATATGTTCAGCTGTTAGATGCTGGTATTATTTGCTGCTTCAAGACACATTATCAGAATGCCATATGTATCCATGCACTTGATCTCAATGATCTTGGAGAGTCTGAGATCTTCAAGCTTGATCTCCTTGCAGCTTTGACTATTGCTCATGATGCTTGAGCAAATATCAGCAGTGAAACAATAGCAAACTGCTGGAAACACACTGGTATAATGCCTGACAATGCACCTGAGTCACAGTCCACCACACCATCTAATGATTTCCAAGAAGCCTTACTCCTCAAGTCTGCATGAAACCTTGTTTGTGACTTTGCCTCAACAGACAAATATATGCTTCCAGGGATTGAACAGGTATTGCAGGATCTGCTTGGAAACCAATATGCTGATGCTGACTGGTGTCCTGCTTTTATGGCTGTTATGAATGCAGAGAATGATGTTAGTAAAGCACTGAAAGCAGTCAATCAGTTGACTCCTTTGTCACAGTCAAAAATGAATATATCTTCCACTCAAATTGCCCCCATTCAACAGCTCCAGACAGCAGAGATAATGTTGAAAGACCACCTTATTGAATTGAAACAATGAAATTGCATGTTTGATCCTATTCCAACCATTGAAGAGATGGTTAGCCCTATTGCAGAAGAGTATACTGAAGATCTTGAGGTGATGCCAACAGATAAAGAGATTGTTGCTGCTGTCAAGCATGATATTGCAGTAGAAAATGGGGAAATAACTGTCATTGATGATGAGGAGGAAGAGGAGGAAGAGGAGAGTGAGGAAGAACAGACCTTAATAACTACAAGGAAAGGATTTGAGCTTATTTAAAAGCTGAAAGCATTTTGTGTTTCACAGGATGACCAGGGTGGATTAGTACCACAGCTGAGAAAGTTGAGAGGAGCATTATTCAAGGAGATGCATGGAAAGCTGATCCAAAAGCCACTGACAGCACTTTGGGGCAACAATAATATTGTCACATATGTCACATGTCACATCATATGCTATTTTGGTTCTGCATAAATCTATAAATGCATATGGTTTTGGTGTCTCCTGACCATATGCATTGTGAAATAGTCAACTGTATTAGCTTTGAGTAGGGTATATCAGAAGAAAAAACTATAACAAAGAGAAACTACTCACAAGAGAGAGACTTAGTGGTAATAAATCTTCATAGCTTTAAAATGCTGAAAGACCAGAGTGGCAGAGGAAGGAAATTACTGACAAGGTATAATGGTCTATTTGAGATCAGCTATAAAATCAGTTCTGTGTTAAGCCCAAATGACATGTGATCTAAACACATGATAAACTGACACTGCCTTGCACTTTGGGCAATAATGTCAGAGTTCACTTGATGTGTTATATGACTCTGTATCACAAGGCCTTTAGATTGGCTTGAGATAAGATGGTGAAGAATAAAACTTTAGCTCAAAGCTGGGGATACTACAGTGAGAGCTACACTACTTATATACTAGTCATCATCTGTCTAAAGATATAACTACCTAATTGTGCATTCTAGCATTATAGAGCATTTTGTCTAGTGTCATTAAGCTACCTACAAAAGGGTATTGTCTGCTGTCAAGCAGTTACTATCACATTGAAGGACAATGATCAACTGAGCATGTTGTGGTGACTAAGCTCTGGTCCCATGGTTCTAAGCACTGGTTTAGACAACCTGACTAGGCAAAAATAGAGGTCAATCCTTTGAATAAAAGATAAAAATATGGAAAAATTATAACATTACCCTCTCCTTAAGACTATTGTCCCAATGGCTTAGTTTAGAAATAAGTCTAGGTGTTCTGGAGCAGATAACCTGCCTTTCTTCTCATAAGATTCATAAAGACATTGAC